CTACATTATTGTTATATGTTGCAATGTTAAAATGTTACATAATATGGACGTGTTATAAAACAAAAGTTATACCACATGTTATTTGATCTGTACGCACCCTAAGGTGAAAACAAAATTGTAACATGGCATTTAAAAAAATATTCTTTATCTTGTTGTCTTATTTGCACGCGTACTGTGTTACATGGTATTGCAAAGTCGGTAGAATACGAACCTATGCTCCCAAAGGGAACCTGACAGGAAATAAGATTTGGGACACACACACATATGCTTTTTTACTTTCTTTAAAAATACATGTTGAAACTTATGCAATGACATTAGTTCTGTTGTTTATTTTACTTTGTTACAAAGTTGAGTCTACACATTGTAAATTCACGCTCCGCCAGTAAATATGACGACATAAAACTTTACGGAGTTGGATAAGCGAACAGAAACATGGAATATTTTTATGGCTAACAAATTTCTGAAAGAATGTTTTGTCCCAATTTTTCCTTTTCCGGATAGAATTCCGTCTTACTTTAAGTTATTTTTAACGCTATTAATAAAATGCAACTATTATACACTTTTACGTTACATCCTATATACGTCCCACTTTTCAACACAAGCCTCGTCTCATTTATGAGTGGCTTTTAGTTCAAGGAAACGTCCACCGCGCTGCCTTAATGCGTATTGGCGTATTTCAAATGTCTTTGATTTTTCGTAATTTCTCAGAAATATAGATTTTCTTACGATGTTTTCACTCTTACAGTTTTATACGCTGTACGTAATTTTTTTTATAGAATAGGGTGACAAACGAGCACATAAGTCCACCTGATGGTAAGTGGTTCCTGTGGCCCATAGACATCTACATTTGTCCTCGTTTGCGAATCAAAATGCAGATGCGTTGCTACCCGTGAGGACTAAGATAGAATGCCTCGTTTCCAGTAAAAGGGGGTTCCGGTTCTCTACACTCACAATACGAAACACAGCAGTGTTAAGCTGCTATTCGACGCTGGTATTCTGTGAGAGCGTGATTCTTCCCCGGTCAAGGTGACCCATTAATGCTACAACTATACTACTAATATAGCTACAGCATGGCTCTATCACGTAAAAAATGTTATACATTTTAGATAGTAGGTGCTGGAAGTTCATTCACCATAAAACTTAACATTTGAATTAAAATATATTCAAAATGCCCTTAATAATTGGCTAACAAAATTTCTTGAAGATATATATATATATACGAGTATATATTATATTCTAATATATGTACGCCTGACCTAATATACCCTATTGAGTGAAATGTGTATAAAATGGAATTTACAACTAATATGTATATTATTTAAGCCAATAACTTCATTTATTATTATTCAATTTCCATTAACATACTTAATTTGTCACTGCCAAATTTCCGTCATTGCCATGCTTTGACTTAGACACTTACACACCTACTTGGATACTTAGACATTATACATAGTGGAGCAACGCTCCAGCTATAAAACGTTAAGCTAAATAATAGAAAGCAGAAGGTTATTATCAATGGTAAAAGTTCTTCTGGGTCACCTGTACTAATGGGTGTTCCTCAGGGCTCGATTCTCGGCCCATTCCTGTTTCTGGTGTCTACCTCACCTTGTAGGGGATAGTCATGATATAGTATTATTTGCTGATGATACTTCCTTGATTTTTAAACTTAAACGTCAATGATTTACATGTGACGAAGTGAATAATGCTACATCAAAGTTAGTGCATTGGTTTACCGTTAATAATCTGCATTTGAAGAGAAATAAAACTAATTGTGTTAAATTTACAACAACGAATGTTAAAAATCTGAATACCAATGTGTTTTTAAATGGGGAGGAATTGAGACCTGTTTTATCTACTGTTTTTCTTGGCATCACTCTCGACGCAAAGCTTCAGTGAGGCCCCCATATATCCAAATTAACAAGCAGACTAAGTTCTGCAGCCTATGCTGTAAAAAAGATTAGAGGTCTCACTAGTGTCGAGACAGCTAGATTAGTATATTTCGGTTATTGCCATAGCATAATGTCTTATGGGATTTTGCTATGGGGAAATGCGGCTGATTCAGAAACTATTTTTGTTTTACAGAAGAGGGCCATTAGAGCTATTTACAATCTAAAACCGAGAGATCTCGTAGAGATAAATTTAAAGAAATAAATATATTAACTTTGGCCTCTCAGTATATTTACGAAAATTTAATGTATCTTCACAAAAACAAAGATAGTTTTAGTAAAAAAGTGATATACATTCTGTAAACACTAGGAATAAACACAAGCTAATGATGCCAGTTTCTCGACTCCACAGCGTCAGTAATTCATTCTTGGGGCAATGTATACGCTATTACAATAAGGTCCCGGAAAGTGTACAGTTTCTCTCTATTACCAAGTTTAAATGTTTTATTGAACTCAAACTGAATAAAAAGGGTTATTATAATATAAATGTATAAATGGTTGATAATAACCCCTGGGAATGAGGTGGTCGCTTCCAAGCAGTTTATAAAATAAATTTTGTAAATAGTTCGTAATAATTTATATTGTAAAATTTATTTTTAAAAAAAGACCCGCTGGGTTTCTTGCTGATTCTTCCTAGGACAGAGGGTTTTTTTTCGAACAAGTGGTAAAGTAAAAAATGACTTTCAATAAGAATTACACATGTAATGTATATTGAATTAAAATTATTCTATTCTATTCTATTCTATATACTTGTAACACAAATGCGTCAGTTCAACCGGGTAAGGACCGCACTCTCACAGAATATCAGCGTAAATTAGCGGCTCAATAAAACGGAGCATTCCATCATAGCCCTCAGGAGTGGCAACGTATCTGCGTTTTGACTCTTACCCGAGGATAGATGTTGATAGTCTGAGGCCATCCACTTATCATCAGGTGCACTGTGAGCTCGTTTGTCACCAGAACTACGGAAGTTAGTAGGAAACCCTTGTAAAATCGTACAAGGGTGCGCAAGATAGAAAGCAGCAGTGCAACGCCACATGAAATGTCGGAGCCAGCTAGTGATTCAGAGAGACAGTAAAGGTTCAATATAAAGTATAATAAATATTGAAATAGATGCACAAACTTCGAGCTATAGCTAATAGCTCGAAATAAGCAAAAACTAAAACTATGCTGGACAAAACAACGATTTTATTAACATTTAACAATTAACATTCACCCTAATGAGATAGTCCATGGGGGTAGTCTATGTTCAGCAGTGGACTTCTGATAATCTGTATTTAATTTTTGATTTAAGATGCATGTCTACGTGAGCATGTGTGCTTATAATAATTTAAGCATGGTTTCTTTGTCACGCACACAAATCACAGAGTAAGTAAAGGATATATTTCAGTTTTGTTTTTTAATAGAATAACTGTGACAAACAAACACATAGTCCACCTGATGGTAGGTGGATGCTGTGGACCATAGACATCTACATCTATCCTCGATGAAGAATCAAAATGCCAATACATTGTCATCCGTGAGTATAAAGATAGAATGTCTCGTTTTCAGTAAAAAGGGGCTCCGGTTCTCTACACTCACCATACGAAGCATAGCAGCGTAGAGTTACTATTTATTTGATTATTTATATATTTTGCATGTCACAAGAAATCATACATTATACGATAATCATACATTGTACATACAAGTGACGCCCCGTAGGGCCATAGCAAATTATAAGATGGTAGTTTTTATTTTAAATTCTAAATATTTACTACTACTAAGTACCAACTAGCGTATTTCTTAACATTACTAGTTTAACTTATTGTTTTCTATAATAATGACACATACATTAACTATTTACAGGCATCTTTAAAGAATTTCACTTAAATTATAATAACTTTTATCAGTTAAAATTTTATTTAATTTTTTATAAAAGACTTAGTGTTGTCGATATTTTTGAGGTTATTTGGAACATTATTGTTATTTTACGTTGGTATTCTGTGGAGCGTGATCCTTCCCCGGTCTAGCCGAAACATTCCTACTACAACTATAATATAGTTACTATACTAATAATATACGAAACATCAAACATGTATATATATATATATATATATATATATATATATATATATATATATATCTGTTTGATGTTTCGTGTATTCTTAGTGCATTGATTAATCAAAGCTCAATCTACTCTTCAAATAAACCACTATCGATTCAATGAAACAAATTTGTGCGGTTAATGAATATAGATTTTAATAAAAGAACCTCCATATTGCATAATAACGGAGGTTTTGATTTTAAAAAAAATGCTTATTAATACGTACCGTGAATGGTCCGCTTCTACTGAATGTAAAATTTGCCTTTAAAACTGGATGCAGTGAATTGATATCGTAAGGCCAAATGAAAATACAGTTTAATTGGAATGAACTTAATCGTGATTAATATTTTTCAGTTAAAGACTTATGTTGGAAAATAGAACTAACACCACGTTATTAACAAAAAAGGCCTTAATAAATAGGATTTTTTCCTTAATTATAAAGACTTATGACTTATGAGAGCGCTGGGCAACGTCGACCGCGGAGGTCGCGTACATTTTCCCAAAGTTGTATTTAATTCGTTTTACTCGATTAAAGTCAATTATTAAGTGATAAATATACACCAAACTATCAATACAAGTGTTTTCAACATATTGTTGTGATTTAAAAACGATGTCACGTGGCCTCTACAAGGAATTTGAAAATAGAACCTAGCGCATGCATTTTGTACTCGTATAACGAGTTTGGTTCGCGCAAGCAAACACTCTCCCATGACAATATCAGCATAATTTAGAAATTATAAGTACGTCAAAAGTAATTTGTTTACGCATCACTGGATGCCGCTGCCCTCCAAACAAGAAATACCCTAAATAAGCGTCATCTATCTATCGGTAGTGTTACTGGAAATAGTTTTGGTAAATTCCGCTAGGGTTAATAGAAACCAGACCATTCAACTCTTGAAACAATAACGACATCTATTAATATATTACTGAATTAAACGCATTGTATAGATTTACATTGATACATTGATAAAATGACAAAACCCAATTTAAAAAGTACAAGCAATGACCGTAAGATGGCACTACAAGTTATATGTTCCAAATGTAAGCGCAAGGTTGACTCAAAAAATACAATGTTATGCTCGCTATGCCGGAACAACTTCGAATTTGATTGCGTCGGATACTCGGAGAGACTATACCGCTTAAAGGACGCAGCAGCTAAAAAAAATTGGAAGTGCAAAGACTGTAGCCAAAAATCAAAAAGGACTTCGACACCTTACTCCGCCTTATCCCATGTAACCACAAGGAAAAATAAAACTGCAAAGAAATCTGACGAAAGCCCTTCTACTTCTAGTGCACTTTTTATGCCGACTGAGATCGAATCTTCAGGAATGGCGTCTGCAAGTATTTTATCGCAGCTGGACGAATCAGAAACAATGCAGGCAAGCATTACTCAACTGAATGCCTCACCAATAAATCAAATAGGCGACTCACAAGCATTAACTTCATCTCATGATTCGTACGAACCTGATGACTCACATGTGCTGACTACCTCCCGCGACCTGAGTGAGTCTGCGTATTCCTTTCATAAACCACTATCAAAAAGCTTAGACCACACTATAACAGACTCTATGGCAGTACAGGAAATGAAGGACACAATTAGCCGACTCCAAACGGAATATACCATACTACAGAACGAATTCGAAAACATAACATTAGAAAATAACGATCTCCGACAGAAAATAATCAAATTGACAAAGGAAAATAAGACGTTGACAGCCTTATGCCAATCTTCACATAACGTTAGCCAAACAATCCAGAGCGCCGAAAAAGGTAATAGACGTTCCAAACCACAGTCAGAAGTATCTTCTCCTCTCACTTCTCACTATCACACTGGTTTTATTTCTCCAGCATATAGAAAAACAGCTGGTACCAACAACATACCCGTGGCACTCCAACTAAAAATTAAAGACTTAGAGAAACAGCTTAAATATACTGAAAACCAGGTAATTTGTCTAAAACAATATATAAATACTCTGGAACAAAAATTGACATCAGCCTTGGACAACACACAAACGCCTTTACAGGCTAAATCCACGAGTTTAGTATGCGCTGATAAAGAAGATGATAAGAACCGGTTATACATCACAGGAACTCAACGCTGCACCGGTCTCGCCACCGCCCTAATTCAGTCGCGAGCGAACACGCCATACGAGAAATACGTCATCACAGCAATAACAAAACCATATGCACCGTCCGCAGATTTTATCGTGAATATTCGAAACATAAATGTAAAACCGAAAGACAAAGTTATAATCTGCATTGGCGAAAACGACTATGATATTAATATACTATCATCACAGCTACGACGGTTTCTTAGATACTTTCCTGATAATGACACAATTGTATTAAATATATTAACAAATATATACCTAAGTGTTACTGACATAAATAAAACTATAAAGAGAATTTGTAATGGACATCAAAATTACCATTTCGTTGAATGTAAACACAGGAATCCTTTTCAATTATGTAATTCGATTAATTATTTGATAGATTGCATTGACTACGAAAATGAATATCTAAATCCCAAACAATTGAAAAAAATAATAGCACGTAGTAAGCCAGCGCCTGAAAAAGCTCTCTCTAAAGTGGTACAGTATTTAAAGGGAACAATCCCGTACTATTTTTCCAGGGCTCGATCGGGGGCTAATGCCTCTATTAGTGGATCTGATGCCAATAGGCAAACGCGTTTAACTCAAAGTACTTTACTGCATTTTTTTCCAAAAATAGATAAGCCTTTCTTTCGTGCCTCACAGTAAAAAAACTTTTAAAGTTTTGCACCAAAACATTGCGAGTGTCTTGGCAAAGCAGGAGTTACTAGAAATAACATTACAAGAACTTAAAAAGACGAATAATGATCCATATCTTATATGTTTATCTGAAACTTTTCTGCGATCTGGTAGCGAGAAGTACCTAAATATTTATAACTATGAGTTAGCAACAGCCTTTTGTCGGGACAAACTGAGGGGAGGAACCTGTATCTTAGCCAAACAAAATAGTATCTACAAAGAAATGGAAAAACTAAAAACGTACGCATCACAAAAGAGCTTTGAGGTCTGCGGCATCGAGTTGCCTCTACATAAATTAGTGGTTGTATGTGTTTATAGAACACCTACATCTGATCCGAATGTTTTCTTAAACAAATTAGACCTACTATTGCACGACTTATTAAGAAACTGTAAGCCTGATACAAAAATGGTTTTGACGGGTGATTTTAACATCAATACGCTGAAACAGGGAAAAATAACAAATTACCTCCAAGATATTTGTCTAAGTCATAACTTAAAAATGCATATTAATGTACCAACACGCAAAAACTCGTGCATAGACCACATGCTAAGTAATATTATAGACGCTAACGCTACGGTACTACCTTTATACTTGTCCGACCACGATACAGCTCAGTTATTATGTATCCCTGTGCAAAAAGAAATTGAAAAACCAAAAACGTACACAGTACTTAAAAAGGACTATAGTTGCGAAAATATTTTCAGATTCAAGGAATGCCTGAAAAGCATAACTTGGTCTGAGGTATACGCAGATATTAGTCTGAACTCTGCCTTCAATAACTTTCATGAACTACTGTGCATGTTTTATAATCTGTGTTTTCCTTTAATTAAAATTAAAGTTAGCACTCATAAGAACACACAAGATTGGATTAGCAAAGGTCTAAGAACAAGCTGTAAAACTAAACGGTCACTAAGATGTAATTATTATAAAAAAAAAACAACATACAATAAAATCAAATATATAAATTATTCGAAAGTATTAAAAAAATGTATTAATACCGCCAAAAGGATTTCACACATAAAATATATAAATAAAAGTAAAAACAAATGTAAAGCGACATGGAATATAATAAAAAAGGAAATCAGTGGCTTAAAATGTGACAATATCATAAATGCAATAAATTTAAACAAAAAACAGTTGACAAATCCTTTTGACATAGCCTCAGCTTTTAATGACCATTTTATTGAATTGACTAATACATATAATCTGACGACAAATAAGACACAAAAAACAACTACTAAGAGCAAAATTATACCAAACACGATGTTTCTTCTTCCAACTTCAAAAGAAGAAGTAAAAAAAGAAATTATGGGTTTGAACAACACCAATTCAGAAGGCTTCGACGGAATCAGTACAAGAATAATTAAAATGTGTACTGATGAACTAGTGCCTGTATTGACGTATTTAATTAATTTATCATTTTCATCTGGTACGTTTCCGGAAGCATTAAAACAATCAGTCGTCAAACCATTGTATAAGAGAGGTAAAAAAAATGATGTCAACAATTATCGCCCGATTGCTCTTATACCTGTTCTATCGAAGGTGTTCGAGAAATGCATGCACCTGAGAATACTTAATTATTGCAACACATACAACATCATTAATAAAGATCAATTCGGTTTCCAAAAAGAAAAGTCGACAACTCTAGCAATATTTACTCTTGTGCAAACAATACTCACAAAATTAAATAAAGGTTACCTAACAACAGGTCTATTTTTTGACTTGTCCAAGGCGTTTGATTTTGTAGACCACGAACTCTTATTAAATAAAATTGAAACGTTTGGAATAAGAGGACCTACACTACAGTGGCTATCATCCTACTTGAGGAATCGGTGTCAGTGCGTCACTGTTAATAAAATCATAAATAGCGAACTGATAACATGTTCTTCTACCCTAAAAAATAACACGTGTGGTATCCCTCAGGGAAGTGTGCTAGGTCCACTTATGTTTATATTATACATAAATGACATAACCAGAGTGACTGGTCATAAATGTATCTTGTTTGCAGATGACATATCAGTAATTGTGACATCAGATAAAAATAAATATAATTCAATACATGACCATGAAATTGAAATTAATAATACTATTGACAACATTATTAAATGGCTCGAGGAAAATAATCTAAAATTAAATTTAAATAAATCAAATTTCATACATTTTAATAAACCCAAACATGATAAACACAATTTTAACCTCAATATCGAAAAGATTAAAGAAATTACACATACCAAATTTTTAGGTGTAACGATAGACCAGGATCTAAACTGGAAATTACATATTGAGACCTTATGCAAGCGTATCAACAGCTTTGTTTATGCTCTTTATAAAACAAGGAGCGTAACTAACTTGCAAACAGCTATTACCACTTATCACGCGTATGTAGCCTCCATTCTACGTTATGGGGTGATGATATGGGGTAATAGTACTGAGAGACAAAGAGCATTTGTAGCGCAAAAAAAATGCATCAGAGCCATATGTGGGATTCCACCGGGCGAGTCCTGTAGAGCATCTTTTTGGAGCCTGGGCTTACTTCCGTTGCCAGCACTATACATTTTTGAAATGAGTTGCTTTGTCAAAAGTCATACTGAGCTCTTCCAGAAAGCCAGAGATATAAACTCTAGATTGAAAAGAAATCCGGATAGATTAGTGTTAAGCGTCATTCCGAGATCTGCTAAATTCAGAAAAAGTTGTGTAGCAATGTGTGTTAAGATATATAATAAGATCCCCAATGACATTAAAAACCTTAAAATGAATTTATTTAGATCGAGACTATATAGGTGGCTTATTGAACTAAAAGTGTACGACATTAAAGAATTTATTGACCTTAGGCTTTAATAATTATTGATTTGTTAATATTAATTTTATGAATGTATTTGACCCTTTTTTTAAATAAATGTAACTTTAAATGTATATAACACAAACTTAAATTTGCATGCTAATTATAAGCAAAACATGTGTACTTATTTTACTGTACCACCTACAAATACCATGTTTTAAGCAAATAAAGAATTTATTATTATTATTATTATTAGCTTTGAGAGTATTAGTGACTCACAAAGTTGAACTCTCAATTCTTCACTTAGGTATTGCCGAATGTTATATAATATTTTTAATCTGTAAAAACAATTTTTACTGTATGGGTAACAAACAAACCTTAGTCTGCTATCCACAATTATACCCAAGTTACGAACTTCGGATACCTGTTCAATATGGTTGCCACCAACAACAATTTAAGACTTATGAGCATTCGTTCGTTTTATTAATATCTTTAACCCCAAAATCATGAACTTCGTTTTATTTGAATTTAAGATGAGTTCATTATTATTCGCCCACTCAGCGATCATGCTTAAATCCAGATTTAGTTTGTTAACTGCCTCATTTGTATCATCCGGTCTAAATGATATGTAGACTTGAAGATTTTCGGCATATAAATTATACTGACAATATTTAAAACAGCCCGTAATATCGTCACTGTATAGGGTAAACAGTAAAGGACCTATAAATGACCCTTGTGGAATGCCACGAGCAACAGGTTACGAAACAGAAAAAATGTTGGTACCAGTTTCATTTTGTAGTCTGACTCGCTGTGTACGACCTTTTAAATAACTTTCAAACCATTTTAATGCATTAATATGCATTAAATATATATAGCAATAATGCAAACAGTCAAAATCGTAATACATCAACTTCGACAGAATTAAAGTAGTATCTATTGTGTCAAATTCACGCGAAAAGTCCAGCAGAGTCAAAATTGTAGCCTCTCCTTTATCTTACGCTATTAGAATATCATCGACAACACTCAATAGCGCTGTAACCGTGCTAAGTACAGCCCTGAAACCTGATTGTTTTAGAGGTAAATTGTTGCTCTGGTTTAGATATTCCATTAATTGCATATAAACAGCCTTTTCAGCGATTTTTAATAAAAAGGCAGTGTACTTATAGTTCGAAGATAATTTAGTTCTACAGGCTGATTATTTTTTTGGTATTGGACTTATTACAGCTTCCTTCTAGGTGTCCGGAAAACCTCCTGTCCGTAGCGACGTATAATAATGGTGGTTATAGCACTCAAAGTCCGTGACAATGCTAAGAAAACCATATTTTTAGTAATACCATCTACACCCATAGCATTTGTGGTAATATTTTACAAAATTTTTAATACGAAGTTTTCATCCACTAATTTTAAAGTAAAAACCGACGAATTGAAACGGTTAGATTCCAAATAGCATAATGTTGAAGAACTTACATTATTGCTTCCTGGTATGTGTAGAAAATGACGATTTATGATGTCAGGATCATTCAAGTTTGATGGCAAATCAATATCTTTATTTTTGAAATCTACCACATTCTTCTTTATATTTCCCTAAAGTAATTGAGGATTTTTTGAATAGATATTAATAAAGTAATGTAAGTAGGCTGGTTTTTCACTCAGTATAGAAGCATTAACAGTACTCTTCAGATCTTTATAATATTTTTTGTCTCCTTTTAGAATTAATGCTTTTACATTTTTCGTGAGCTTTAACTCTTAGCTTCATCATTTCCTTCGTTGGTGTGATCCACGGATAGCTATGGCCTTTTATGTAAGACTTTCTTATTGGTGCATGAATAATTGTAATGAATTATAATGAATAATTCAAATTACTCAAAAAAAATAGTAAAATTTATCCACAATTCAATACACAATCATCATCATCAGCTGGCCCATTGCCACTTCAGCTTACTAATCCGTTGGGCTATGTTGGTCGCTCTGGTTCTACTGCGGATTTCCTCATTTCTAAGTTTATCACGCAGAGAAACTCCGAGCATAGCCCTATCCAAAGCTCGCTGAGCAACCTTGAGCTTCCTCATTAGGCCAGCAGTGAAGGACTACGTCTCAGTACCATAGATCATCACTGGCGACACGCACTGGTTAGACAGTCTTGTTTTCAAGTTGTGAGGTATACCTGACGAGAAGATGTGCCGTAATTTC